GTGATACTATGGGTGTCGGACTAGTATACTGAAATAGTGAGCTCAAGTCTGGCTAAGGGCATACACCTATTTCAAAAAACAGGCATGCTCTGCATGCAAGAGTTATTTTTTGTAGGGTGTGTGGATTACTTGAAACATTGTAAGGGGTCTACATTCTTACAAAAGGAAAGAAGAGTGTTAACGCGGAAAAGAACGAAAATGTCGAATTACCTCGCACACAGGTATTTTGTGGTAGATTATGTCTGTTATGTGTGTTGTGCAAATAAATGTCGCCAAAAATAAACTGTATTGGTGCCACGGATACCTGTTAGTACAAAATGCAGACAGCAGACTGCAGACCGGATACAAAATATAGACTGCAGACTGCAGAGTAGGTACAAAATGCAGACTGAGAATCTGAAGAGTGTAAACATATCAGGTCTGCGGTTATAGGTCTCGCGCATGCGTTATGCAGGGGCACATGGCAGGCTCGACGTTGTGTGGTTATCGTTCTTGTTTTGAGGAATTCTGGTTGTACCACTGTTTACAATAAAAGTAAGTTGACAGTAACTGAGGCCCACACAATCACATTACAAAGAGTTTTTACGTCTGGTATATAATAACATGTCATCCTACAGCTTACCGAGCGTCACGCAATCGCTTTTCCGCGATCAGCCTTCACGATTATTTGCACTATTGTGGAAAATTCCTGGCCCATTTCTTGATGAAAATCGATCGTAATATAATTTCAAGCCTTCAATATAGTCTTTTTACTTTGCGCGCGAGTTGGTTGGTGTGATGTCTGTACAGATTTTACCAACGTAATAAAAGTAGATGACGTGAATAACAGTGATGGTAAAGCAAGCTTAAAACGGCAGAAATCGCCAGAAACTACAACGGATACACAGGGTATGAGTAAGTTTTATTGATTTTACGAGAAAAATGTTCATATTTCGAAATATTTGTCGTTGTAAATCGACCATATTTCGTTCCCTATACTATTCCATATAACGTGTTCAAATTTTCAACGGTTCCTCTCGTAACTTAACACCGAGTCACACAACGCGTGACGCGTTCATGAATTAATCGTTGGCTTTTTCTCGAGGCGTGAGCTTGGGCCACCTGTGACAAGACAATCGCGTAAACAATACTTGACATAATAACATTATACACAAAAACACAGGATTTTGGATCGTGTATTTATTAAAAAAGAATATCCATACAGCTACAACGAAGACAAGCGTAAGATTCACCTTTCTGATCGTGAAATTAATACCATTCGCACTGTTATCGTAGCTACGTTCCTTGGCATCAAGTGAATCCAACATGCCGTCTTTCTTCACTATCAGTTTGCATCCATTAGAGTTTCGTTCTTTAGTCTCACGGTAGGAGTGTTGCTCAACAGATTGCATAGAGTATATGCAGTTTGGTTTCAGATTTCAGATTTTGCTTTTTACAACAAGTGTACGTTTTTCAACTAAGACATTGGTATACTTGGCATACAAGGCATTCAAGGCTTTCAAGCGTTGGCGACTCAATCCGTTCCAAATTACCGCTCAATAACATCTTTTTGCGTGGATTGGCCGCGAACAATACGACTTGTGTATACGTCTGTAAGTATTTTGAGCGTTTGCGCCGTGATGTTCCGGGTGATCGTAATCCAAACACATTGAAATACGAAATAAGTGACAAAAGAGTTTTATACGCAAAAATCCCGTGGTTCGTCATGTGACCCGGCCCTGTCCGTGCATGACAACGTCAATCATCATCAAGATAACACGCGTGATCAGCATGTGAACACTTCATTGGATCACAGTTAGTTGTCATGGTGTTAAGAGCCCAATGACCACTGGGTACTATTGCGCAATTTTTCCATTTTGTGGCGGAGGAAAAAAAAAACGACAAAAAAACAAAGGCATTTTATGATTGGGCTACCACAGGTATCCCAGTAATAAAAATTCAAATAGTCAACTTTTTACAAAAGCTACCTCAAAACGTTCAGTCCTAATTAACACGAAGAGGAATTTTATCATGGCTTCGGTCACGTCATATCCATTTTATCTGCGGAGGAAGAAGTTTGTGTAAACAGTAATTGGCGTCCTTGGAGATCTTTTTCGATAAAATTTGCGTTATCTCTAACACTCCAAGTGTTTTATGTAGATGTAAAGTTACCCAGGTAACCATGTAGGCACACTTAGAGAAGTTGTCAATTCCTTCGAGATATTTACATTCGAATGCACTTTTCCGTACTTCAATAGCACTTAAAAATAAAGACGTTGTTAAGATTTCACATGAAATTGTTTGGTGAGTAACCATCCTGTCATTTCCCTCTTCGTGATGAAAGATGGTTACACTTCTAGTGATGTTAAGATATTACTCGAGTTCATTGTTCAGCATAGTTGACAGATTCCTGACCAGCATATCATTTCCCTCAGTTGTGCAAGTTCAAGTTGATTTGTGAATGAAATCGTATGTTTTCTTTTTCTTCTATTTTCAATGTTTTCCAACGTTTTAAATTATTTTGTTCATTTCCCCTGCAGTGAAGGTATTGGATTGTTCAGTAATACTTTGTTCGTTCTTGTACATTACAGATTTATGATTGGAAATAATTAGAACACACTCAAAAGTAGTACAAATGAAGAGCCTGGAGGTTAAATAATTGTTTTAACTTAAAAGTTTTTTAGTCAGCCTACTTGTAAGACTGTGAATATACGAAAATCATATATATGAACTGCGGTGTAAGAAATGCATATGAAAGCGATCTTCGCAGTAACCTACGTATGCTAAGAAGATATAATTCAGTTAGGAAGTTTCTTAGCAAGGATTTCTTTATTGCATTTTTAACAGAATATTGAATTTTCCTTGGAGCAGTCGTGTGCCAAAATACTCACTTCGAGAGGAGGAAAGGACCAATCAGAGCGCCAAAATTTACCCCAAGACCACCTTGCCTTACAGCTGTAGATATATATATATTTACGAAAAGATGATCGTGAATATTTCTTTGCGTATGCCTCTTCTGGACCTGATTACCCAACATTACGTCGTCAATGTTGAATTCGAGTACTTTTTCCTTCCTGCTAATGGCATAACAGGACAGGAAATTCTATCAATTCACGTCTGGCTCGAATAAGCGACCACCCTGTAGGTAGGAAAGTTAATAAGCGCCCAGCCTGTAGGTAGGGAAAGAAAAGAAGCACCCAGCCTGTAGGTTGGGAAAGTTAATAAGAGCCCATCTCTGAATAAGCGCCAACTCTCATGGTCTAAATATTCAATAAGCACACGGGGCGCATAATGGAATCAATACGGTATATTACGTAAAATGATTGATGTTGGCCTTCCCGGCTTAACATATTGGAAAGGCAGTCATATAAAAAGAACATTTTGGAATATGTACGTGAGAGGGATAGAAATCGGTTTGGTTCTCACAAGTTGTAAAGTATGGGCGGCCATCACCGCTAAAAATAAAGGCATAAGAAATGGTTTATAATAAACAGAAATAGTTTAATTCTCTTTTGGAGAACGGTTTATCTTGTCTCAAGAGATTTACTTAAAATACATATGGACAAGTCGCCTTTAATGAAATGAAATATTCAAACGAAAATTGGTTTATTCAATTCAGAAACTGTGTAGCCACCCTTGTTGAACTGATTCGACAAAAACACGATTGGCCAAGTGTTAACTGAAATGGTTCAGTGTCGAAATGACAAACGGTTCAGCTAACTGTACTTTGGTTAAGTGACTTGTCGCAAACGGTTCAGAGTAGTGTGAAATGGCTTAAGTTATCGGCAAATGGTTAGTCCGTTAAGCCACAATGGCGTAGTATCGCATCAATCTACTCACCGTTAAGTGAAATGGTTTAGCGTGACTCCTGCATTGTATAAACCACTTTTTGTTTGAATATTTCATTCCACCAAAGGCGATTTGTCCATTTGTATTTTAAATAAATCTCTTGAGATAAGATAAACCGTTCTCCAAAAGACAATTAGACCATTTCTGTTTATTACAAACCATTTATTATACCTTTATTTTTAGCGGTGACGGCCGCCCATACGATAGCCATCTTTAAAATTAGGAACGGGAATAGGAGAATACGGAATGGGGAATGGGAATCTTTAAAAGTGGGAATCTTCAAGGTTCAAAACAACAGCCGGATCTTTCAGCACACTTGCCAACGATTTTTCACCGAAGAACTAGAATTTTGTAGAAAATATTATGATTGTGATCGTCCAACTGAAGCAAAAGTCGATTTCATGTTATGGTGAATATGCCATATCGGGTAGTAAAGCAGCCAAGAAATGCTTTAAAAGCTATTTGGAAACGTAAACGAGTATAAAGTTTCGAAATTTGAAGCGTGCAACAACGAGTATTTTCGTTTACATTAATTAGCTTTCTACGTATTTGTTCAAGCGTGAAACATGCAAGTTTTTGTACACACCGTCACATTACCGTGTTTATGTTTCTGCGCGTACACACTACCTTTCAACAAGATTTATTTTCCTGTCAAATCCAGTCTAACGTCGTTTATTAAGCCTTCTCACGCGTTCAAATTAAAGTCGGTGCTTGACAGTAGCGCAGCCGTTTGTCTTGGCAAAGTTGTTTATTTCACGCTTGAAAAAACACCGGAAAATTGAGCCTTTCACTACGCTTTGTTGGGAAAGGATTGCTGCAACAAAAAATGTTGATCAAAATAAAGACTCTGATGTTGAAATTTATTAGAGACAGCCGGGGAAAAAATGAGCCTGGACAAAAGCCTACAAATTCACGCTGAAAGCTGAAAAATTATTTTGAGCCCTGATCTTTAAAACGAGGAATCTTTAAAATGGAGAATCTTTTAAAGCGTGGCATGAAATGTATGAGCGGTCTGTGTGAAAGTTGCCCTCTTGAGGCGGGAATTCGTTAAAGATTCCCACTTTTAAAGATTCCCCATTCCCTATTCCCCGTTCCTTCTTTTAAAGATAGCACCCACACAATCGCCTTTATATTTAATAAGCGTCATACAAACATCATCAACATATAAATGTAAAACACTTACCGGTCTCATTTAAATCCTAACGGCGAAGAAGATTCTAACCGTTGCACTTCTCTTTACGTCTGTTGCCTTGAAAGCAACCACAAGTATTGTCAGGTATGCCTTTCGACGACCTATTCAACTTAGATGACCTCCTTTTTCGCAAGGGAAATCACTGAATTTCTTCGATACTTTGAAATTAGCGGGTATGAATATTCTGGACGTCACTGTCAGGTTAGACAAGTTAACGACTAGCGCCTCTTTCGAATGCTGATGTCTTTTCATCGCATCGCGCCTCGCGGAACGGACTTAATGGTAATAGGGAAAGTTTTATTGATTGTGCTCTCACGGCGTTGTTGAGTAATGTTTATCCTAACATGAGCACTGTTCGTCGAGTTCCTAAGTAAATCTGATCAAGAATGAATGCGCTTGTGTGGTCTATTTCGAGAAATACAAACCTATGTTTGGGTTTAAAATTACTCTAGAAAGAAATTTTAGGCGTTTACAGGTACAAAAAAGAATCCTGCAACAAGAGCTGATTTGTGAGGATAATTTCCATCAGGTTGAAACTACCTGCTAATTAAGATTAATGAAAGATATAGCCAAACTGGCATAGCTGTTAAAATTCATACTAATCGTGACGGTATGAGAGCGACTGCGATCATGCTGAGGTCCATCGTATCGCGGCTCATTGTCGCAACAGAACAGAGCAGAGTCGAATTTAACTCTTTTGCCTGAATTTTTTTCAGTCTCCAATACAGAATCTGGAGGCGAAATGTTTAGCGAAATCCGACTCATAAAAAACACGCAAATCTTTTCACATGATAATTTAGAAAACGAACTGCTAAAGGCGTGTGTTTTATGAATGAACGACTGCCGAATTCACAGGAACATGAAGATTGCTCGGCATGACAGCGCCGTAGAACTTAGCTGCAGTGACTGATGTGGCCTTCCACTCAACGCATTGAAAAGAATATCAGAGCAAGCTTTTAACTGTTCATTCGTAGGGCGGTCGATGTAAAAGGCTTGCTTCATTGCGATGACTGGAGATCGCCACGATGAGCTAGCCGTGATGGTTCTCTGCATGATGTCGTAATGATTGGAATGAATTTAAACATTATGCCAGTTTTATTTTTATAGCCAGGCTATATTTATCTTCATTCGGACACCCGCTTCGTGGTGGTCTTCCGGAATCGCTCGTTCGATTACAGACCTAATCAATATTATGACAAAATTCTCGAACGTGAATGGTCATCACCAGCCTGATTTGAGCACTCATAGGAAAGGGCACGCGTCATGCTTGTAAATGGACAGTATAATAGGACATTTAAAGGGACAGTTAATACATCATGCCTGTGCGGCTTCGACAAAATCTGGATCGTACTCGTTTGGATTATGGATTGGATCACGGATCATATCACGGATCATGCTAAATAAATTAGAAATTTTGCGTGGCAAGCTTCTTTAGGGTGCATTTCTGAATATTGTCCTCACTGGCGCCGAGGAAAGGCTTTGACTTTGAAATTAGAAAGCCTTTTGAGACCAGTTTCAGTTTGCGGTGGGGATGGCTGACAACTTGCTGATATGCCCTACGCACACTCTCCTCATGAAATAATCCCCACTCTCTAGGGTTTTGTGGCTCCACTTCCTAATTTTGACCACAACTGTGTGGTGATTTGGGTAGCACAATACCTTCTACCAACTTTTTGACATCTTTTTCATTTTTTCAATGGCCTCTGAGCTGTTATGAAAGCAGCTTTGTGAATATACCATTCCTCACATTGCCACTGCATTGAGGTGGTACTCACTACATAATCTCTTCCTGCATCACTGAAGGATAACAACCTCAAGACATCTTTGCTAGAGATGTTGGGATGGCCTTTAACAATCTCGGGTACTTTGGTACTCATGATACCTGTCCTAGTCTTACGAAAAGGCTTATTGTCCGTTCTGAGTGAGCTTTGGAAGTGTAGTGGAGTCTTTTTCATTAGGGGCAAGATAACTGCAGGTGCATCAGTTTTTAACAGGCACATCTTTTTGGGGAATTGACGGAGATATTCCTCATCTTTTGGATTCCTGCCTTCAGGAGCGCAAACATCTCAGTCAATATACTGGAGATGAATGTGTTTATGTTTTCTTTTTTTGTGAGGGTTTTTTTAAATTTTTTTGATCACCAGGTCCTTCACTTTGCACGATTTAGTATTTTCTATAGGTTTTTTAACCCAGATAATGGGCCACTGGTTACACTACCTTTATCTCGTGTGTTTAACAAATCTTCTAGGGAATACAAAGCAGCTGCAATGTGCTTGCATACCCCATTTCGACCACCTTTACATTTACATCTAGCTTGAAATATACTTCCCCGTGAAATCTAAAGCCCAAAAGGTGAATTGATGTGATCCGATTCGCGATCCGGTCCGTGATCCAGTCCGATCCAGTCCGATCCAATCCGGTCCAATCCTGATTTTGTCGACGACGATGCCTTCGTAACTGGACAGAAGGCGTCGTGTGTTTTTGCCGGGTTAACAGTTTTTTTTGTTTTTTGTTTTTTTTTTATGAAGACGTATGAACGATATCAAGTTCTATCCTACCAAGGATAGAAGTTTATTGCAAAAATTTCTTAAAATATTTAAATATTTTTGTGAAATATTTTATTTTTATTTAACAAAAAACTTTTAAATCCCCCAAATAAACATTTTCTAAATCCATTTCTGATAAAACAGTGGCGAAAAAACGTCAATCTCTCTCAAAGTCTTTTTTCTTTTTCGGGACGTAACGACAACCTTTCGCCATGGATTTCCTCTTAGCAACTTGTAATATTAGCTCCCTGGCGATCCAAGAAACCTTTTATTGTAACATAGGGATCCATTTTACTGGTAATTTATTTATTTTCCTCATTTCGAAATGTCTAGGCTTGCCGCTACTTAGTCATTGAGCAAATGTTTTGCCATAAAATCTCTGCAACTGATGTCTCAGGATTAATGGTTTATCGGAAAGAAGAAAGACTTCTTTTACTGAGGGAAAGAAAAGAGAGATTTTGAATATTCAGTCGGGCGGAAGATTAATTGCGGGCTCATCTTGGCCTCCATCTTATTCCTATTGTCAAAATAATTGGCTGACGTTTTTCAGTACGCTTCATGCGTGAGCATTTAAATTCAAGTTTTGCCGACAGAATTACACAGCAGATTGAACAAAAAAAAGTATTTACGTATTTCTGTCAGGGACAAGTTCTTCTACATAAGGTAAGTATTTTCTAGATCCTGCTTTCCCGCTGATAAAAACAACTTTTTTAAAAACTAGACTAATTGAACTCGGAACGAAATCAAATTACTTGTCAAATCATTGAAATCGTTCAAAGTAAAAATGCTCTCAACGCAGCTGAGCCCACACTCTAAAGCTATGGAAGAAGGATCGATCCAGAATATTCGGATGTATATCGTAGCATCAGTGGTGTCGGTATCATAGAGAACCTGCTGGCGCGCTTGCTAGTCTAACTGAATCATTCGCTCTCGGTTAAATCGAACGCCTTCTACGCTGTATAGCATACTCGCAGCAGAACAGACGCAATATCCATAAAATAAACAGAACAATTGAACCCCTAGGATAATTATGATACATGGAACGATGATTCATCCATCTAACCCTAGTTAAATACAGTACTCGTACAACCTCGGAGTCGCAACATGTTACAAAAATCTGAATTTGCTAATTTACAAATTATAAAACCATGCCAAATATTTTTGGGAAATAATTAAGGCATGGATACAATTTTCGTCTGTAATCCTTGTGTACATGTACCTAATTTTGTTTTCCTAAGATATAATAATTTTAATTCGGGGAAAACTTGCTTTGTCTTGAAAACTTCCATGTGGAGTTTTGACATTTCTTGAAGCCCATTTTACTATTGTTGATTGTTACTGTTGCGTGATGCTTTGAAGCAGTCCGTCTTTTCAGCAAAAACATGGTCCTATGCAAAACAAAACGATTTTGAACCAGTGAAAAATAGTCTCAACATGGCGATACAAAACCTGTTTGGATGTTATACGGGAAAAGTTAAGAATTAGAAGATTGTCAAAACGTTCCTTATAGAGATGTTCTCAGTATATGTAAAATGCCAGAATAATCGAATACCACGCTTTGCTAAACTTTTTAATTTATTTAGCTAAGATCCGCCTTTCAATTCTCTTTTTATTGACCTTGAACCTCATGTTTATGTTTAGTTATGCTCCGAAAAGAAACACTGAGTTGAAAAAACGAAAATTTCAAACCTCCGTGAGGTGAGTGATGATTAGCTTTACGTACATGACAGTTGATTTTGAACAGTATCCAAGGCCAAGAAACAATTTTTAAAGAGAGGGAGGGGAGGGTGCATCATATGTGTCTTGCCGGTGACACACTTTGCGATTTTTTCCCCGATCGCGACGAACGAGGATCAATTCCTTTACGAAAGGAAACTTCAAGGTGGTGCAAGTTCGGGTTGTTGACTATTTTATAGATGGCTTATCGCAAGGAATCCTACAAACATCCTTGGGAAAATAATTTTTAAGCGACTCCAGAGCTTCTCGAATTTACAGTGAGAATGCTGAAGCCTCTCAGTGAATTAAGAAGTTTTTCCTGTTCCACTAAATCATTAAAACGGATTTTGGGGAGATTTAGTGGTCAATTATAACAAAAAACGTGGAGGAGACTTGGACCCCCATAGTAGTAAACGTATTTTGGGGTCGAAAGAAATGGTACTCAATAGCTGCAGGAGCCAAATCGACCAGCCCACCAAAAAAGCATTATGAATTGGTTGTAAGTTATATATGCTTATACATCTTGTTTTAAGAAACGCGACCTAAACGAACATGAGGAAAATAGGTAAAGTTATGCAGCATCGACCAGATAGTTTGTTTTCGTGGTTCGTTTGCGTTTGCGCCTCTTTGTGTCAAGGACTGGACCTTGGTTTTGCAGTTAGCTATGGAGTTTTGCTTCCTGAAGTTATGGACGAGTTTGGGGAAAGCCGGCAAAAAACTGGTGAGTTAGCATGTGTTATCCTAAAAATTTCCTCGAAAATATGATATAAATGCGTCATGCAGTTAGATAGGTTTGCTTAGGATGATCCTTGGTAATATGAATTTCATCCTTGTAATAACAGAATTAAGCAATTCTTTCTCTCAATATTCAATCTGGTCTAGTTTATTATCTTTTTTCTCCTTTCGAGCATAAAGCTTAGGTGTGAATTTAACAGAGTTCTCAATTTGTAATCTGGAAAGCTGTGAATTTAAGTGGTAACCTTTCGGCCCTCTTTTTCATCTATCCTAACTGATTCATAATGGACTGAAATTCAATTCCAGTTTGGGTCGGATCTATTGCATTTGGATTGACCTTTTTCCTCGGTCCGCTGGCGTCGTTTCTCTGTCAAATGATTGGATGTCGCTTCCCTGCCATGCTTGGATGTTTACTGTGTGGTACAAGCTTTTTGCTAACTGCACATGCGACCAGTCTTCAGTGGATGTTTTCCACATATGGCTGTTTGTATGGTTTGGGTTCTTCGTTACTATTTTCATCTTACCTTCTCATAACAGCAAAGAACTTTTGTAAATGGCGGTTTCTCGCAGTAGGGATCGTTTCAGTCGGGGGTAGCATTGGAGTCCTAATTCTGGGCCCAGTGCTACAGCTCCTGATAGACAATGTAGGCTGGAGAGGAACATACATGATGATGAGTATACCCTTTTTTGTGATGGCGCTTATTTGTGGTGCTACATTTAGTGATCCTATTGTCGATTTTTCGAGAGCCGAAGAGTCTACCATATCTCTGATGGAAATAGAAACATTAAAGAAAGATACTGAAATTTCAGTAATTGATAGACATCGAGAGGACGTCAATTTAAAAACAGAAAGAGATTACATTAACGAGGATTGCTATGGAGTGGAGCAAAAGCTTAATAGAACTAGATCTCTGCAAGCAGTGGTAGTCAAAGCTAGCTACCTAAAGGATAAGAACAATAAGAATCCAAATAAGACAGGAACATTACGAAAGCTGTTGGACTTGTCTGTGTTCAAGGTTCCTTCTTACACTGTAGCGATGATAAGTCTTCTGTTGATGAATTTTGGACATTATGTACCTCAGCTATACCTAGTAAGTAGTCTGCAGTAATCCCTACCACAGGTAGCCCAAACTAGTCACCCGGCTGCGTTTGAACTATGTTCTTATCACGCATTTGTAGAAATGTCGGGATTTCTGCTAGGAAACGATTGCATCAGGAAACTTAAACCCTTCAGGCTTTGGCTATAAAAAGATTGCCAACCACGCCCTTCTTAGTCACTGACGTGGTTTTAGGGTCGATTTATAGAGATTTGGGCCGCTCAGAACTCATCTTCTTTTTCATTCACTTAGCACGTGAAGTGCCCTAGTAGTTAGCAATCTACATCGGACACAAAGAAACACGCGACTAACGCGAGGTCTGCTGGATATTTCTTTAGAGCAATACCGGACATTTGATATGATTGATACTGTCAGATGCAAGAATAAAATTTACGTTTTCCAGAATTTGTCACTAACTTCTTTTCGATCTTGGTTCACAGGTAAAATATTGCCTCGATCTCGGCATTTCTGCTGATTCAGCCTCCCAGCTTTTTATTCTTCTTGGTTTATCATCCTCCGTTGCCCGCGTTATAACTGGGAGACTGTGTGACGTAAAGTGGATAAATGTGATTTATATTTACCAATTTGGAGACCTGCTTATCGGACTTGTTATCATTTCCCTCCTATTGATAAGAAGCTACACGGGACTTCAAGTTTTTTCTGTTTTTTACGGCGTTGGGGATGGCATCTTCACCACAACGATGAACTCCCTCCTTGTGTTTAGTGTGGACGAGGAGCTCAGAGCAGCTGGATTGGGCCTAGGTAATATGTTATTGTCATTGGGGATAGTAGCCGGGCCTCCGGTTGCAGGTTTGGAAGCCATTTTTATTGAAAGAATATACTTTAACACTAAAATCCAAGCTCTACAATGTCTCCCTTGCTGTAGTTTGTATAACATGCAAGCATCCATTACGAATGTAGAAGCTTGAGAGCGCATGTATTTGAAATTTCCAAGTCTTAGTATCATGTTGGATGAAAAACGCAATTCCAACTTTTAGCAACTTTAAAAGTTGTCTCATTGTAACAATCGGAGTTGCAGCCGCTTTCTCGGTATTTTAAACTTAAAAATACCCATGTTTCTTGCGAAATGAGACTAATATCCTTTATTGATAGGTAACGATTTGGAAAATTAGTCCCTTTGACGGTCACAAACCCTATTTATTTCTCAACGTTTTTTTCTTTCTCCAGGACTCTTGGTGGATATGTCTGATTGCTACACCTGGGCATTTTTTATGGCTGGTATTGTGACACAATTAGCTGGTCTGATGCCGCTGGTTCTGTTCTTCTTTAAGAAAAAGAAAGACGATGGCCCTAAGGGATATGAAATCCGAGAAACGCGCTTGTGATTGAACTCAATGCTAGAAATTTTTCCCATGTGGTGGTTGTCAAAACGTAGGCAGAGAGAGATAGGATAAAGCCGATCCCAAGGAGAAATTTTCTTGCTTGGGGCTTAGGGGGGGGGGGGGTCTGTTTTGCAATATTTTGAAATAAAGAGGCTCAGAAATGCTCTTTTAAGCATTTCCCGTGGCATTTTTCTTCAGAAAAGTCAATCTTGGGCGAAAATCAAGACGAAGCAATTGCCTCCTCTTGCCTCATGCTAGCTATGGCCCTGAAAATACGCGCTTGATTCGTGAAAAAGTGAGAAACAATTTTCTTTATCTTTTGCGTATAATGATTTGGCCTAAACGTCCGCTGTAACTTAATCAAGCGTATCTTATTTACAAGATGCAATGAATTGCAAGTGATGGTTAATATTTAATAATAGGGGAGTACACTTTACTTCAATTTGTTTTTCCCATCTTCTTTACTTTAACACAATCGACGCTACGTGAGAGCGTCATGAAAATATAAAACAGTGTAGCTGATAGTGTCATTAGCTGACATCATGCAAGCAACTGGCCTGGTGGAAACGAATGGTGGTTTGCGACAAAAAGAAACCAATTAAGGAGACCAATATGATGAAATAATTTGTATACATTTATTATAGAAGGGAAGAAATGCGCATATCTCGATACTCGATAAAGCCTTGTATCTTCAAATTTCCTTTGTTTCGCCTAAATCTTGATTTATGTCTGACGTCAAAGAGAAAGAAACTAATCTCTATATGGTGCGTTACCTTACATAGCTAGGTGTTCCATCACTATTTAAATAAAACAGTTGGGTTTCTTTTTGTCTTTCTTTTTTGTTTTTGTTTTGCTTCTTTTATTTTTGGCATTGTGAATTTTTTTCTATTTCAGTCTCGCTTGTTCTGGATGCTTCAAGAAAGCTAAAATTAAAATGTAGACCTAAAATTTATGAGGTACAAGGCTCTTATCTAAGCGGGTAATTTATTATTATCACCTGAGTTTATAACGTAAATTGGCCACCGTAAAGAGTTTCGAAGCTAACGTTTTGACCGTTAGCCCTTCGTCAGAGCGAATTATTCGCTCTTTACGGTGGCCAATTTACGTTATCAACTCAGTTGATAATACTTAATAACCCTGTTATACTCTCCCACTGACGCAGCACCAAGTTAAGTTTCGAAAGGAACGGTTTCTTTCTCTATTCTTTTATCTAACTGGTCATATAAATGAATGTTATTAGACAAACTGTCTCGGGGCATTTCAGGACCTGTAAGAATCCAGACTTCTCTGGCAGGCGAGTGGCTTTGCCATCGAATTTTAAGTGTAGGAAGGGGACCCTTGACGTAAAGTCCGAAGATAGACATTCTTAAACCTAAGACGTCCAGAAATTTTTAAAATGGGAGCTAAGTTCACTCGGCCAGAACTGATTGGGGTGATCAGTATACCCTTGTGTGTTGTGTGCGGCTGCGTTCAGTTTCTACTGGAGTTATTTTCACAACATACTTTATCTATGAAACTAATAAGCTATCATTACAACCCTGCAACTAGTGATGCTTTTCATGTCTAACTTATTCCATCGAGACCTTGTCTCAGGAAGTTTATACGTTCTGGAAGAAGTTTATACATACAGGTTCATGGGCTGGAACACCGGTGATGTGTGAACTGTGGATAAAGAAGTGAATCGATGTTCGCAGTAATGAACACTACCTAAGCAGTAGAGGAAATAAGGCCTGAAAGAGATTCAGGCCTGCTGCTTAAGTAGTGTTTATTACTGCGAAGATCGCTTTCATGTTCACTCCGTTATCCGCAGTTCACATAATTATGATTTTCATATATTCACAGACACTTAAAAAAAACCTTGTCTATAAACACCCATATATTTACCAAATAAACAAAAGAATTGCCTGAAGGCCGGAAAAAAATTTCTGCACCCTCTTGTGATGAAAACAAATGCCATCAATTAATCATGAGAAATTAATCGAGAATAATTTGCAGCCACCGGCAAGTTTCTTTGATCTGTATTAACATGGGGTTTCAGCGACGTTTAAACATGTTTAGATGTAAAAAGTCAATTCGTGTTCTATCATTTTAAATCTAATCTCAACATGAAGCGAGGGGGTACAATAAGACAATTTAAAAGTTTTAAATTCTTTGTTGAAGCGTTCATTTTCTAGAATCCATGGATGGATGAGCAACAATTGTTATTGACTCTCTGTGATGTTCGCTATTCTTTCAAGGAGACTAATTAGCTTAAATTTCTTTTGCTCTTTTGTGATTTGTTTTATGTTTTCTGCTGCATTCTGTTTGACAAGTCAGCCAAGTCATTCTCCTGCTGAAGTCAGATAAACGTGAGGCACGGCATAGTTTCCAGTTTGCCGTGAATTTGTTTTCAGTCTTCAGAAAACAAGCCGCTTGCTTTCGTTGGTAGAGTCACAGGGGCCTAGAGATTCAACAAAGTAGTGAGATAGTGAGACACTAAGGTAAGTGGTTAGAAGATTCACAACACTGAACAGCGTCAGTTATTTCATTGATTGAAACACAGTTTACCAGTCATTGCTGAACACAAATTAAATAAATGACTGTAAATATATATGAAAATCATGTATGTGCACTGCGGTTGAAGAAACGAATATAGGCGATCCTCGCAGTTATGAACACTACTGAACTAGTGGTTGAAATAAGGCCTGAAAAAAAAAAAAACTCAGTGTCACTTCGTTAGACAGATTGTGCATGCTACTAGAATCGTCGTATTACTTTTACCGGGTGGATCCAGTTAAGAATGAAGCATCTATGAAAATGAAAATTATATTTGTTATCATATACGAAATCACGCGAGATCTTGGAATACTTTTATGAAAAGCAAGGTGAGTAGTGGATATTGTTATCGAGTAATTCACAGCAGGTCACTTAATCTAGAAAGAAGCTGTTTTTGCTTTGTTTCTTTAGTTTGGTTACCATATGAATAAGTGCCTTTCTTCTACACGCCCTGCAGCTTTGAACCATAAAACCATCAAGTACAAACGAAAAAAAAAATCATCATCTGTGGTTTGATGACTGCTTAGAACAGCTGAGTTTCATTATCCTAATTATCATTATATCGATAGGAGTTTATCAAAAACCCAAGTTGTATTTCGGAAACACAACTTGGATTTTATTATTGGAATTTTAAGATTTCCTTTTGATTTTAGACTTCTTAGTATATTTCGTTCTGTGTTTACTGTTTTTTTTTTTAAATGGTAAGAATTCAAGCAAAATAATGATATTAATGTTAACAGAGTGTTGGTTTCCTCGTTACAGAAATCGGCGTCTAGTACATCATGAGGGAAAGAGTTTTGCTTGCATTACTTGTGCTTGTTTTTCAATACGTGACAGGTATGTGGGAGTTCAAGATCTGAATAGGCTTTGCCTCTTTCTGTTCAGCTCTTCTCTCAGCGAACTTTCTATTTACATTCAAAGTGTGAGAAACTACAAAATATATAGGTCAGTGAGAAAAATAGGCAGACATAGAATTCGGAAAAATTAACTATAAATGAGCGAGGGTTGCCTAAGAATGAATGAGTGATGCAAATCGGATTTAACAGCTTTAACGCTGTTTATGCTCATTTTTTTTCGAGATGCATCAATAGTGAAGCAGCTCCGCCTTTCACGAGACCAGAAAAGTAAAAAATCCTGTTTGAAGAGGTTATACACACACTAATCATTAAATATGAAATGTGGTGGTCAATAGAAAGGTGAAGATTGAAAGAAATGGCCGAATACTTAGAAATTTCGATTCATTTATTCATTTTGTTTGTTGTTGAACTGTAACTCACACGTCTTGTACCTAACAGACATTTTATTTGGATGAACGATGCGCTTTATTGCATCTACTCTTTATTGCATTGATTTAGTTATCTTTTCATAATTTACTTATTCATCCATGATCTGGATTCGTTTTCCTCTGATATCAGGTCAAAATACCATAGGCAGCGTTATTTGCAAATCCAATCACACCGTGAGTATCAGTATCAGCAACGTTGAAGATCTAAACACTTGGAACGAAACTCAGTGGGCAATACAGCAAAAAGCTGAATGTCAGCCAACATTTAGCGGAAGCGATGTCATCTTCTCAGACCTTGTGCTACCAGACTGCTCCTTGACTGCAGAGCAGCTCTCCGGTAGCATAAGATACACAATTGAAATCAAAGCTGAACAGGTCGCCCCAGGAGATACAGGGCAGCTGCGTGTGTATGACCACCTGTACTTAGTGTTCTGTGACTATGACAATGAAGATAGAGCAACAGCATCCTTCGTACCAGTTAAGAACCGGGTAGCAAATGACTCAAGTAAGTTGCTTTCATAGTACTGATTATAAGGCTTGTAAATATTCTTAACCTTTAACTGTTTATCGAGCATCTCCAATATTTTCGGATAAACCCTCCAGCAAAGGCTTTCTTCAGCAACTTGGGAACGTAAATGCCGAGATGGTGATCTATTAAACCAATTTTTAAGTCTTGTGAAGAAAAATCAGTGGAATTGCAGGTTATTTTTGAAAAGCTTCGCTGGATGACATTTTATCTTTATTGGTAAACATGGCATAATTTTAAAGGATTAAATTCTATTTTACCAGCTGCGGATGAAATCAAAGTAAAGAAATCATCTTTTGATGTAAGCTGCAATTTCAGTAATGGCAGAAAAGAACCCATACTTCAAACACAAGGATAATCTGCTTGTTATTATTTTTTTCTCTTCCATAGGCGGAGGAAATTTCACGTTTACTCTCAAAGTTTACAATGATCCCGCTCATACTACTAATGTACTCAATCCAGTTGCATTGGATCAAACTTTGTACTTCGAGGTTACGGTCGAAACTCAGAGTGTGGCACCCAATCTTGACCTGTTTCTTAAAGAATGTTGGTCATCACAGAGCAACGATGCACAGTCTACAGTCGGAAAATTCAAACTCATAGAGAAAGGGTAAGAATTTCACTCTTGAACTAATTATTCATCAACTACTGT